AGTTGACCCAGGGTTGACCCAGATGAAACCCTAGTTGACTGTCTTCAACTGTAATTCTTGTGACTTCACCAATGACTTGTCTCCTTCTCCAAATGGCTTTCTAAGTCCTCCAAGACGTCTAGATACTCCCCATGCTCAGCCCACAGCTCACCATTTCTTTGTTGATCCTCAGACACCCTCAGTTAGGAGATAGATGAACTGCTTGATCCATTGACTTGATAGCTTCCAAATTCTTTTCTGATGACTTGAATGAGGTTGAATCAGGATAGTAACCTCTTGATAGGCCTCTAGAGATGAGAATAATGATTGGTCCCCTGTTAGTTGACTTGCTATGCTTATGCTATGCAGATGAGTAACCTATGTACATGACCCTATATGCAAATGCTAATGCAATTGAAACATAAACCAAGTGAATAATGTTGGGCAAATTTTAGGGTGCAACACACACCCCTCTGTTTTTTTTAAAATTATTTTATTTCTTTTACTTTACTTTTTATATTTATATTGTAATTTATCTTTTACACATAGTTTATTTATAATATTACAATATAGTATATATTAAATATTTTCCTTTCAAACAAATTCTTCAACACCATTTCTTTTTTAGTCTTTATTTAAATTAACTAAAATATTTTCAAACTCATTTTCAAAACTAATATTTTTCTAGTTCTTATTTAAACTTATTCTATTAAAATATTTTATTTTCAAACTCCTTTTTAAAACTAATAGTTTCTTTATTATTTACTTTTATTATCTATTTAAATTTAACTACTAAAATAATTTCTTAAATTAAATTATGAGAAACTAAATCCTTGAAGTCTAGCACTTCTTGAATTTTTTTTTGGATAATCATTATTGGGGTGTACACCTTAAATAATACATTATTCGACTTCTCGTTTTTTAAATTACTCTCTTTTTGAATAAAGAAATATCATAAGAATCTAGCATTCTGTGTGATATTTCCGCTGTTCATCCAATTTTTTTCTCAAGTGAAAAGGGTGTTGTCGAGATCTAGCATCTTGATAACACTCCGATTAATTAGTTGTGAGGCCGACGTCTCATTTACTAAATAATTGTCATTTTCAAATTCAATTTTGCATTTTCACCTCTCGTACCGCAAACTCCTTTCATACTCTCGATTCAATCCAATTTATTTGAAAATGTATTTCTCGATTAAAACCTCGAAAGAAGGAGATTCTTGGAATCTAGCATTCCTTGAATTTTCGAGTGAATAATTCTCGAGGCACGCCCTTCGAGTCGTTATTCACTCAACCTTTCGACTTTGCCAAACTCAATCATTTTCCAATCGTTCTCCTAAGTCGAATGCTCGTACGCATTCGCAACCCACATTTCGTACATTTCATTCACAACTCCTCATGGTTTCGATATTAGGGGCACCCTCAGGGACTAATATCGTTTTCTCACAATCCTAACCCTTGACACGTTGTCAAGTCGGTTTCATTTTCAAACAAATCCTCGATACGTCGTCGAGCTACTTCAAAACAACTTCCTTTTGGCCTCGCATGCCATCTTTCGATTCGATCTTTTCACATACGTTTTTTTAAACTTACGAAAGAGGGATATTCTTAGAATCTAGCATTCTTTGAATATTTGAATGAGTAACTCTCGAGGCGCGCCCTTGAGTTGTTATTAGTTCATTCTTTCAATTTCAAAACATCCAACTCTTATCTTCAACTTATTCAACTCAAATTCCGAAAGAACTGAGTTCTTGGGATCTTGTATCCCTTGAATTCTTGAGTGACAAGCTCTTGAGGCACGCTCTTAGGTTGTTTGTCAGTCACTCTTTCGTCTCTCAACCTAACGTCAAACCAATTCAAACCTCATTTTTTTTCGTGGTCGTCTCCACGAACTACGACTGCTCTGATTCTTCATTCTCGTCCGAATGTAAGATACGTAGGCACAAGATTGCGATGATCTTGGCGAGCTACCTTCTATCCATCTCCCATTTTCCCCCATCTTTTCCCGTAGTCGAACTACGACGCTCTGATTTCTTATTCTCGTCCGAATGAGCATACGTAGGCACAAGGGCCCCAATCCTTGGCGAGCACCCTATCTTCTAACCGCCCCATTCCCATAGCGTCTTTACCTTTTATCCTACCAATTCTACCTTTAACAACGAAAAGAAAACAAGTAAACCTAAAACAACACTCCCCACATTTACCTTAAGAGGTTCCCGTCGAGTACGACGGACGTGAGGGGTGCTAATACCTTCCCCTCACGTAACCGACTCCCGAACCCGGAACATGGTTGCGACAGCCCTGTTCCTATCCTTTCGTTTTAAGAGGTTTTCTCGATATTTTCCTCTCCCGTTTATTCGGGATAAATAAAGTTCGGTGGCGACTCTGTCGAACCGCATTTTCGCGCCTTTCGCGCGAGGGTCGTTTCTCCGAAATATCTCCGTGATTTTTCGAGGTGCGACATTCACCTACCTTTTGGTGAGTGTACTGTGACTCTCCAAGACGTGTACATGTTGCTCGACCTACACATCGATGGTAAGGCCGTCAACGGCAGAGTTGGTGTCACTGACTGACTTTGCAAAGATTTATTAGGCGCCCCTCTTTGTGTGGACGCACCTCATGCGGAAAGCGAAGGCCGCCCTAGGGGTCAGGGAATTAATTTAAAATACCTTAGAGAACAATACAACAGTATTGTACTAAGTGATGATAGCACCGAGTATGACAAAATAGTCAAAACTCGGTGCTATATTATGATTTTATTCTGGCACTTTTTATTTCCAGAGGGAACTGGAAATAACTTAAATATTATGTATTTGCCCATATTACAAAATATAAACAAAGTGCACGAATATAGTTGGGGATCAGCTGTCCTCGCCCATCTGTATAGCGCACTTTGCAAAACTTCAAAAAAAAAAAATTCATGTACTTTTTATGGTTGTGCCTATCCCCTACAAGCGTGGGGTTGGTCTAGGATGCCAACGCTTGCTCCAATAAACCGGAAACCTTTTACATTCCCGTACGCCAACAAGTAAATTTCTTTTCAAGATTATTTGGCAACCAATTTTGTTCCTTATTGTTTTAGATGCTAACTTATATGTGTTTCTTTTTTTTAGGTGGTATGTTCCAGGGATGAATTATCAGAGATGTCCCAGACACTCGATAATTCAATACCGCAACCTTATCGACCACCTTGGGCCAGATGATGTAAGTTATTTACGTCTAATTTGTCTAACTTATATGAATAAACTTGTCTATCTCTATTTGACTAAATGTATTCACCTTTATTGTAGTTTGTCTGGATGCCGTACGAGGGTCTAGACCCCCAGCCCGACCCCAATGATGCTGCTGTGTGGACATCAAAAACACCCATAATTAGGTTCACTACGGTGGAGATGCACCAAAGTGACTGGGTTAAGCTACAGTTTGGGATGCATCAGGATATTCCATATGCTCCGGTAGATTTTGGGCAGTGGCATCAAAAGCGGGTGGACTCACAGTGGAGTGTAAGTGATTGGAAGGAGTTTGCGAAGGAGTGACGTAAACACTGAAATAGAAGAAGGCAACACGTCTTAACCGACCGTATTGTGCACGGGGCTAGGCCAAGTCTTCAATATATGACTTGGTTTTGGTATGTCACGACATCTCAGCCTTTCCTGTCCCAGCCAACCTATTTAGTCGACCTAAGGGAACGCGCTACTTCGTCAGGCACACAACAACAGTCAAATGCCCAAAATCAGCCTTACAATAACCCATACCAGCCTTACCATGCCCCCCATGAACCACCATACCATGACCCGTACATGCCACCCACCTAGTCCCAGCCTCAACCACCATACCATTATAGCCCTGACAACTCATTTGACCCTACACCCTCCGCCTACCCCTCCACCTATAGCCCAGACAACTCATTTGACCCTACCCCCTCCAACTACCCCTCCAACTACCCATCAAATTATCCCTTATTTGACTACCACACCCCACAACAACCAACATATCTAGACCAACCCAATTCCATGTACACATTCGGACAACCATACCGTCCATACTCCACCCAACCTCCCCGACAATCCTTCAAAAATATGGGCATTCGGCTTGACTACGGCAGCGCCGTTGACAGTGGACCTCCCGACTATTGGGGTCAAATGTTGCAAAATCTATCTGATACGTCAGGGCCGTCCCAACCATACCCTCCTCCACAACTCAACACACAAATACCAGACACACCACAACAACCTCGTCGTAGACCTCGTCGCAACGCGCATCCCCCGCAATGTGGCACCGATGGTCTCTTGGATAGAGCCGACCATTAGTTTTTATTTTTTTCCAATTGTAATTGTAATTTTCATTAGATTGTAAATTAATATATTTTATTATTTCTATATTTTTTTTAACATTTCTATATTTCTATATTTCTTAAAATATTTATTATAATGTTTATAAATTTAATAACAATTACCATTAAAATATTTACACCAACATAATCTTCAAATAATTTATTAAAATATAATAGTTAAGGTATTAAAATATAAAATATAATTTATTAAAATATAAAATGTTTTAAATAATTTATTATATATTAAAATATAAAATCTAATTTATTAAAATACAAAATAGCTATTTATTAAATAAAAAAAATGAAAACGAAACCTTAAACCTATAACTAAGTCGTCATTTTAATTGGCGAATCATTCACATTTCCACATAGTCGCCGTTGCGATTGGCGACTCTACCTCTATTCAAAATCTCATTTGCACTAAGTCGTCATTTTGATTGGCGACTGCACGTTGAAATTTAGACAGAACTAACCGTTCTTGAAAAATATCTATTGTCAAGTAATTTTGGAATAATAATAATGTGTTATTCTAAAAAAATTCTTAAATTTAATTATAAAGCTAGAGATAAAATGAAAATTAATTATAACGAATATTTATGTTTAAGTAAGTAAGATTATAAAATGTTAGTAGTACTACTCGCAGTCGTCTCGACCTTTTCCTTTAGGATTTTAGTACGGCGGCGGTAGCAATGGACGAGGCCAAAACGACACCGCTTCTAAAGAGGAAACAACCCCAACAAACCCTAACCTCACCGGTTACACTGAAGAAACAAGTTCAACAAACCCTAACATCACTGCATCTTCCGTTCGATCTGGTGGCAGAAATACTGTGTAGGCTCCCTGTGAAACATCTCATTCAATTCTGTTGCGTCTGCAAGTCATGGGGTTCTCTTATCTCCGGCGATTCCAAGTTTGCCAAGAAGCACCTTCGGTTGTCAAACTCCCGCGACGACCGCCACCATCTCATCATGAGAATGGTACAAGATTCACCTGAGTTCTTTCTATGTCATTCCCCGATCTCCTCTATCTTGAGTTCTGCATCAACTACACAGTACAAGAGTCCTCTAGAAGTAATTCTTAACAAAAGATACCATGGTATAGAAATTTCCGCTTGTGACGGCATCTTATGCATTAGCATAGAATGGGTAAATGATTCTTTTGTTCTATTGTATAATCCTTCCATTAGAAAACTCAAGATATTGCCGCCTTTAAAATTTACACACCAAAGATATGTTGTAATCTCATATACGTTAGTGTATGATCGTTTCACCAATAATTATAAGGTTATTGCTATTGCTGCTAGCAGTAGCAAAAAAGAAGTCAACATTCATACTTTGGGTACAGATTGTTGGAGAAGGATTAATCAGGACTTCCCAGGTCCTCACCTCATTCTTATTCCTAGATCGGGAATATTTGTGAATGACTCTGTTAATTGGTTGGTGTATGAGGTTGCTGGTGGTTCAGGGTTCATTGTTTCTCTTGATTTCGTGAAAGAGTCCTATCAAAAGCTTTCATTGCCTGTCTTTGATATGCTATTCACAATTTCTTTTATGACCTTAGGGACATTGAGGGGTTGTTTATCCCTCCTAACGCCCCTCTTTCAGAGTAGGGATAAGTTTTCTGATATTTGGATAATGAAGGAATATGATAATGAAAAGTCTTGGATTAAATTGTTAAGTGTTCCTCACATGAAAGAATATGGTTTTTATGGCTATACCAAGGCATTATATGTTTCAAAGGATGACCAGGTGCTGATGGAGTTTCTCAAGAATGGGAAATATAATTTGGTGGTTTATGATTCCATAAATAATATTTTTAAGATTCCTAAATTTCAAAACAAGACGGTGGCACGAGCCGTCTATGTTGAGAGCTTGATATCATCATTCTAGATGTAGTGCTTCAATTATGCTTATTCTTATTACTACCGACTTCATGCGTTACTAATTTTAACTTCAAGAGTTACTAATTTATAGTATATGGAATATGTGGTTTGAGAAATTGTATTATGTAACACATTATAACAGTGGTTTTCTCTTATTATTTACTCTATTATTCTCAATTTTGTTTTCTATATCTTATGTTGGTTTCTACATCCTGCCGATATGTTTGACTAACGATAAACAGTTACTATGCAACCGTTGGTCAAACAAAACTTAATTTGATATCACATAGAGATAGAATGTTTAAAGGTGGATGTAACAATAAATTAAGTCCTTTGCAATTATTAATTCTAGGTTCTGAAATATTTTGGTATGGTAATTGTCTACTAATGGTATGAACCTGTTGTTTTTATCAGTTGTCTCGTTTACATGTGAAGTGTCACTGACTAAGATTCTAAGAAATGGGATCCCAATTGATTCAATCTCATATGATTCTTATTTGTTCGGGATCTAATTTTCTATCAATCTGAATGTTGAAAAAAAAAATTCATTGGATAAACATGTGGACATGTGGTAGTCATTCTCAATTCAACAAATTTATTCAATTCAACACTGAGTTCATATTAGTTATTAGTGATATAAGGTTCAGGTCTTCCATATGCCAAAAACCAGTTTATAGAAGGTTGGTTTTCTCCACTTAACGTCGATTCTAAGCATTTATGATAAAGTGAAAAGATTTTTGGGTTTAATTAGAAGAACAATTTTGAAAGTTGGCAAAGATGATTTAAGAAAAGTTGTTCAGGCTTTGACACTAATTTCTTTGTTGTATCATATGGAGCCATTGCACAAAGGTATAGGAAAATGTTGTGGTTTCTGTCATGACTGTGGTGGTTGTGACGGGGTTTATTGTAAGGTAAGCAATTCTCATTTCTTTGTAACATCATTATTATCATGTGTTATGAACATAGCTTCATAGCTTCCTAGATATTAATTATGGTTACAGGAGAAACGTTATGTAAAGAACTAAACAGTGGATTATTTACTTTTTCAGCAGAATTGTTTCCGTTTTTAGAGTATCTTGCATATGCACCTAGTCATATTTTTGAAGCGGTTTTCTTTGGCACGGTAGTTTTTCTTTCAGGTGTTTATTACATCATGAAAAAATTTGATTCTTGATTAAGTAATAAAGCTGTAAAAAAGTATCTGTTAGCTGACATTTTAATTCTTATAAAGCTTTCTGTCATGTGGCTGGAGATTCCGAAATATTTTGTTTAAGAAAATTTTTCTTTCCTGCCACATTTTTATAATATATTATTTAAAATGCCACACTTTTATATATATATATATATATATATATATATATATATATATATATATATATATATATATATATATATATATATATATATATATATATATATATATATATATATATATATATATATATATATATATATAAAAATAAAAGAATGTCATCTTTTTAATTTTAGTACGATTTATTATTTCAAAACAACATCTATGCTGAGATGACACAAAAAGTCTATGTTGAAAGTTTGATATCACCATTATAGATGTTGTGCTTCGGTTATGCTTATTCTTATTACTACCGACTTCATGAGTTACTAATTTATAGTATATGAAATGTGAGGCTTGAGAAATTGCTATGACATAACACATTATAAAATGGTTTTCTCTTATTATTTACTCTATTACTCTCAATTTTGTTTTCTATATCCTTTGCAATTATTAATTTTAGATTCTGAAATATTTTGGTATGATAATTGTCTGCTAATGGTATGAACTTTGCAGTTTTTTTTTATCAGTGGTCTAATTTGCGGATCTAATTTTCTGTTAATCCGAATGTTCAAAAAAAAATAAAAAATAATTTATAGTAAAAGTTCAGTCGAACAAAACTATTTTAATTTATTTAGAACTAAATCGAACAGGAATTTTTGATTTGATATATCATTTTGAAATTCTAAACCGTAATGAAATGTTATAAGACAATTTTTTTTAATCAAACTATTTTAATTTATTCATAACCAAACTGAATCAAAATTTGTAAATGTTTAATCGAACCGAACCATTTCAATTAATTCAGAACTAAACCAAATCGAAATTTTTGGCTTGATATATCGTTTTGAAATTCTAAATCATACTGAAATGTAAGAAGCCAATATTTTTTTTAAATCAAACCATTTCAATTTATTTAGAAACAAATCGTACCAACATTTGTGGTTCCATATATCTTTTTGAAATTTTAAACTTTACTGAATTGTTAGAGGATAATATTTTTCAAATCGAACTATTAGTTAAAAAATTGAACCTTTAAATTATTTTTCTGATATTTTTTTAAAAATAAAACTTATTTTTTTTCTATTTTGGTTTCAGCGTGGTTTATTTATGATATAGTTCAGTTTTAAGCATAAATTTATAATATAGTTCGATTCATTAATAAAAAATTACAATTTAATTATTTTAATTATAATTCAATTATTTTAATTTCACTTCGGCCAATGAATTTCACAAAAAGTTTAATTGGAATATGATATCTCTTCCACAAGGAAGAAAAATGGTATGATGAAAATGGCTATACAAAGTAAAATACAAAGAAGGCTGTGAAATTAAGAAGTGTGAGATGTTGGATCGAACTCTAGTATGGTCGAAGTCTGCTCGCGAGTAATGCATGTTGTAGTCGATGTCTGTTCTAACATGCATTAGTCAATATTGTTAGGGTTGTTAGCATATTGAATTGGGTCTTGCTTGTAAGCCCAATTGTTTAAGTTAGCTTGTACCCTAAGTTACCTTGTAATGGGTAATTGTTAAAAAGCCCATTAGGTTAGTGTGCTATTTTATTATAAATAGGATGCTAGTTTCTCAATCTTGGCATAAGGAAAAATAGGAAGATAAAATCCTAATTTCAAGAGAGAGATTATTTTGTTATTCTTGTATACTTGTAATCTTGTTCTAAGAGAAAGGAAAGAATAACAGTTTAATAACCAATCCTTGTTGTTTTCTTCTTTATTAACCCTAACCCTTGTGTGTTTCTTGCTAAGAAACCGTTTATACTTTGTTTAAAGGTATCTGATTCACAACAAATTGGTGCAGTGAGCGTGGAGAAGATGCCTTCAACAAAGTATGAGATTGAAAAGTTCACCGGAGTGAACGACTTCGGTATGTGGCGCTTGAAGATGAAAGCCCTATTGGTTCAGCATGGTTGTTTGGAAGCGTTGAAGGGTGAGGCAGTCATGGACGTTGCGTTAACGGCAAAAGAAAAGACGAGCATGATCGAGAAAGCTCACAGCGCAATATTGTTGAGCCTTGGTGATAAGGTTCTTCGACAGGTACCAAAGGAGACTACATCATCGGGATTATGGGTGAAACTTGAAAGTTTGTACATGACCAAATCTCTGGTGAATCGACTCTACCTGAAGCAAGCTTGATATTCATTCAAGATGAGTGAAGACAAAGTATTGGCTGAGCAGTTGGATATGTTCAACAAGTTGATTCTTGATCTTAAAAATATTGATGTGAAGATCGACGATGAAGATCAAGCACTGTTGCTGCTGTGTGCTTTACCCAGATCACATGCTCACTTTAAAGAAACTCTCTTGTATGGAAGGGAGTCTCTGACCTTTGAAGAAGTTCAATCAGCTTTGTACTCTAAGGACTTGAACGAATGAAAGGAGTATAAACCTTCGACGGTGGGCGAAGGTTTGGCCGTTAAGGAAAAATTCTTGCGAAAGGATGGTAAGTTCGACAAGAAGAAAGGTAAAGGTCAATAGAAGTCTTATAGTGGCGAAACATCTAGTATTTAATGTTATCACTGTAAGAAGGAGGGTCACATAATAAAGGTGTTCCCTGAACGCCTGAAAGATCATGGAGGTAATGGCAATGCAGCCATTGTTCAAGATGACTTCGACTCATCTGATGTTCTCGTGGTTTCAAGTGGCGACTCGAGGAAAGAGTGGATTATGGATTCAGGTTGCACTTGGCACATGACTCCAAACAGAGAATTATTCGAGGAGCTATGTGATCAAGATGGTGGACCTGTGCTGCTGGGAAACAACAAATCTTGCAAAATTGCAGGTATTGGATCTGTAAGATTCAAGCTCCATGACGAGTCAATAAGGTTATTGACTGAAATCAGGTATGTATCTGACTTGAAGAGAAATTTGATTTCTCTTGGTGAATTTCAACAGAAAAGGATACTTTTTTCAAGGAGAGAAAAGTATCCTAAGAGTCATAAAGGGGTCGAAGGAAGTTTTGAGAGGCGTGAAGAAACAAGGCTTGTATACCCTTGAGACTGAGGTTGTAAGTGGTTCGAAAAATGTTGCATCCACGAAACTTATGTCGAAGACAGAATTATGGCACATGAGATTGGGCCATGTCAGCGAAAGAGGCCTGGTCGAATTGAGGAAGCAGAACCTACTAGGAGGTGACAAAGTCGGAAAATTGGAATTTTGTGAATCTTGTGTATTTGGTAAATCCTGTAGGGCGAAGTTTAACAAAGGCAAGCAAAGAACACATGGATCCCTGGATTACATTCATGCTGATCTTTGGGGGCCTACAAGGAATCCTTCACACTCAGGTGCAAGGTATTTTCTATCTATCGTTAATGACTATTCTAGAAAGCTATCGGTATTCATTCAGAAGACGGAGGATGAAACTTTTGAGAATTTCAAAAGTTGAAAGATTCTGGTCGAAACTCAAACTGGCAGAAAGGTTAAGAAGTTGAGAACCGACAATGGCCTTGAATTCTGTAACGAAACATTCAACAGTTACTGTGTTGAGTCTGGGATTGCAAGGCATAAGACTGTAGCAGGTACTCCTCAACAAAATGGCTTAGCTGAGATATTCAATCGAACAATCCTTGAAAGGGTCAGATACATGTTGGTTAGTGCTGAATTGAAGAAGGTGTTTTGGGCGGAAGCTGTTTCGACAGCAGCTTACCTGATAAATAGATGTCCCTCGACTGCCTTGGGAATGAAGACACCTAAAGAAGTTTGGTCGGGACCTAGAGCTCTAAAGTGCATGTTCATGGGATACCCTGAAGGAGGCAAAGATTATAGGCTATGGTGCCTAGAGCCAGGTCACAGGAGGTGTATCACCAGTCGAGATGTAGTTTTCAATGAAGCAGAGACGACTTTCAAGAAAACTGATGATGCTGACGAAGAGCTGGAACAGGGAGAGATTCCTGTTGAGGTGGAGCATGTTGATGCTGAATTGCTTACCCCAGATGAAATCGAAGAAGACGCAGAAGATGTCGTCGAAGATGAGGAGATTGACAATGACTATCTGCTAGCAAGAGACAGATCGAGGAGAGTCATCAAGCCACCTCAAAGACTTGGGTATGCAGATCTTATAGCTTATGCCGTAATCTCTTCTAGTGAGGTTCTAGATGAAGAACCTCCAGACTATAAGGAAGTTATGAGGAGTCGAAAGAAGACTGGATGGCTGAAGGCCACGGATGATGAGATGAAATCTCTTCATGATAACAACACCTGGGAACTGATCAAGAAACCTGTTGGAGCTAGGTTAGTCAGCTATAAATGAATTTTCAAAGTTAAGGAAGGAATCAAAGGAGTGACGTCGAAGAGATACAAGGCAAGATTGATTGCTAGGGGGTTCACTCAGAAAGAAGGTATCGACTTCAATGATGTATTCTCTCCTATTGTGAAGCACAAATCCATTCGAATGTTGCTTGCCATGGTGGCCCAGTTCGACCTTGAACTGGAACAGATGGATGTGAAGACTGCGTTCTTGTATGGTGATATAGATGAATCAATCCTGATGAGGCAACCTGAAGGGTATGTCGAAAGGGGGAAGGAAGATTACGTGTACAAACTAAATAGATCTTTATATGGACTGAAACAATCTCCTTGACAATGGAATAGGAGATTCGACAAGTTCATGACACACATAAGTTTCATCAGAAGTCAGTTCGACCACTATGTTTACTTCAGATTTCGACCGGGTAATTCATTTGTTATTTTGTTACTCTATGTTGATGATATTCTAATAGCAAGCAACAATGTCGGAGAGGTAATGAGGGTGAAGGTTGAACTCAATAAAGAGTTCGACATGAAGGATCTGGGAGCTGCCTCCAGGATTCTTGGGATTGACATCCGGAGAGATAGAAAGCAGTCGAAATTATGTTTATCTCAAGAGGCATACCTACAGAAGATTCTCGAAAAGTTTGGTATGTCGAATTCAAACCCTGTTGTGACTCCGACTAACCCTCAATTTAAACTGAGTATATATCAGTGTCCCAACACTGATGTTGAAAGAACTTATATGAATAGCATTCCATATGCTAACATAGTAGCTTCTTTGATGTATGCTATGGTATGTACTAGACCCGACATAGCATATGCAGTAAGTCTTGTAAGCAGGTACATGGCGAATCCTGGAAAGGCTCACTAGCAAGCATTAAAGTGGATTTTAAGGTAGATAAATGAGTCTCTGAATAGAGTCCTAATTTATGGTGGAGCCTTGAGTGAAGATAGTAAAGCAGCAATTGAAGGATATGTCGACTCTGATTATGCAGGTTGTATGGATTCCAGAAAATCTATCTCTGGATATGTGTTCACTATGGTTGTAGAATTTCTTTTTTTAAAAAATAAATAAAAAATTATTTTAAATAGTTTTTTTAAATGATATTTTATAATTTTATTAAAAAAGATTATATCAAAATTTTTTAAATTTGAAGTTATTTCAAATAATTTTTTATAATTTTTTTTAAATTAATGTTTTTAAAAATATAAGATTTTAACTATGTTTTAATCTTTATGTATATTATGCCAAAATTAATTTTTTTATTTATAAAAAATGAATTTATTTATTTTTAATATTTTAAAAGTCTTTTTTTTATAAAAATAATTTTTTTTATTTTTTTAAAGTCTCCACTTTCTCATTAATTTAAGTAACCTAAATATCCTATTTGTTGTTTGAAAAACAATTATATTTATGTTTCTTAGCTTTTCAAGAAAATCAATATTGTAATCTAAAATATGATTTATGCAAGATAAATTGAAAAACCCTTGGGGTACTATCTAAAGTGAAAAAAGGAAACCTGCGGCGAAGCAGTTGTTCAAGAACACAAAGGTAATGAGACTGCTTAACATAGTTCCTATGATTATTGTTCTTCCATACTTTCAATGAATTCAAATCATTATTATTGTTAATTTTATTATCATCAAAAAATTACTCTGACCATTGATACTTTCATTTCTATACTTGAAGAAATGGCACTCACTTTACCCTTATCATCTTCCATTTCACCAATGAAAGAGATAAACTTCAACTTCCCCATTTCATTTTCTCTTTGCAAGGACAAACCCACCAACAAATTCTTCAATTTCACCCCTTTCTCAAAATCCTCTTTGCAGGCAAGTACATGAATTTCACCATTTCAATCAAAAGTTTACTTTTTTATTTTTATTTTCATGCATATATATATATTATCTCGTTACTTTTTAAATTTATTGAATAATTAATGTATCTGTTCTATAAATAGTCCAGAAACATTGGTTCTTCCATTTTTCTTACATGGTGTTGAATTTCTCGATTTCCCTGAAACAGGTTTGTTATTCCAGAATAACAAGAGTTCAAGCACTCCAATCGGACGGTACTAATTCGAAAAGAAAAGGGCGAGAACCATATAGTGACAGTGATAGTGATGATGATGATGAAGATGATGCACCGTCTTCCTCGAAAGGAAATGACCCTTATGCTATGAGTCTCGAAGAGAGACGGGAATGGAGGAGGAAAATCAGACAGGTTATGGAAAAGAATACTGATATTCAAGAGGTTGTAGATCCCGATGAAAAGAAGAAGAAAATGGAAAAGCTTATTAATGATTACCAACTTGTTGTGGAAGAGGAGGATCCTGATTGGCCTCAAGATGCTGATGGTTGGGGATTCAATCTCGGGCAGTTTTTCGATAAGATTACCATCGAAAATAAAAAGAAGGAAGATAATGATGATGATGACAATGATGATGTTGATGATGGTAAGAAAATACAGTGGCAAGATGACAAGTGCATTTATCCTATCAAAGATGTAAAGGCTGCGGCATGGGAGGAAACTGTGTTTAAAGACATTAGTCCTTTGATTATTCTTGTGCACAATCGGTATAGAAGGTTTGTTCTACTTCTACCTTGTTATACTCTTCTACATTTTATTCCTTAGCCCTATAGTTGCTTCAGTAAGTGGCTGATTTGGTTTTCCTGTTGAATACTTTATGTGTGTGAAGTAAGCAATGTAGTCAAGCATGGGATCTTAAGTAGGATCGGTTGGTGTGTGAAAGATCATAAAACTCGGACTGTTAGCACGACATGTAAGATCCTACCGAAGAGAAAAATGATAATTTCATGCATATATACGGACATATAAAAACACAAAAAAAAGTTCCAGCACATTTTTTTACGATTTTAAAAAGCTTGATCTTGACCACGCCAACGAAGAAAACAATCTTGCTTTAGAAAACTTGATCTTGACCACGCCGACGAAGAAATCGATCTTTCCCTGATCGTAGCACTCTTAGGCATCCTTAGCACGTATGACCTTACGATCTTAAGATCTAGTACTCAATCTTGACTACACTGAAAGTGAGTATTTTTTTTTTTTTTTTGATTTCGGATTGTTTTAGAAAGAATAAGAATGTGGTTTTCAGAGAAAGAGATGGTTATGTATTTCTATTATGATTCAGATACTAAGAACATGAGAGACCGCTCTTAACTTTCAACCATGTGCAGATAGCCTTGGCATTCGGCTATAGTCTGATGTCGTTGCTGTGATGCTTGCTCTTTATCATGTTTACAATGAAGCAAGTTCAAAACGATCCTTGCTAACCTTTTCACATTTGTTTTTAGGCCAAAGAACAATGAAAAAATTCGAGATGAACTAGAGAAGGCTGTGCATATCATATGGAACTGCGGATTACCCTCGCCAAGAGTAAGTAATTAGTAAATTCCGTGCAATCATTCCTTTAGTTTCATCTGTTTTATCACATTGACGATTTTCTTTGTCTGACATCTTATTATGTATCATATGAAAGTGTGTGGCGCTTGATGCTGTTGTTGAGACTGAACTAGTTGCCGCACTTAAAGTATCGACTTTCCCAGAAGTTATCTTCACTAAAGCCGGGAAGATTTTATTCCGTGATAAAGAAATTCGCAATGCAGATGAGTGGTCAAAAATCATGGCCTTTTATTACTACCGTGGAGGCAAACCACCGTGTTTGACAAACATTCCAGATCTCCAAGAAAATATTCCTTCTTTTACCATTGATAGTCGAATGTCTTGAAAAATTGAAGAGCTCAAAGTTTCTACCAAGCCATTTTGCTGAAGTACTTCCATTTAACATTATGCCATTGTGTAAGCTATGCAAGGGAATGAATGTATAGCGCTTAGCTTCACGGATTGCGTATAGTATGATATAGTAACTGCAAGAAAATTCCTACTACAGGTTGTTTGATGCGTGGACGTGGAAGCCGTCACAGGGAATGAGCTTTAAGTTTGACTTGTTGGGATACTGAAAAACGGGATGCAGAAGATTTGGAAGATGAAGTCTTCACTTACTAATTGTCGGTTAAATCAAAACATGACTCACTGGCTTATGTGTAATGTCTTCCCCAAGAAGGTTCTGTTCTATCTAAGGTTGATGGTGGTGACTGTCAGAGGAACCAGAATGTAGTGTTTAAGTCTCTAAGTTGTATTTTCTTGTTAGAAATTACATGAACCTCCATGAAAGCTATGTCATCACTTCAATGTTGTTATGTTATACTACATGAATTCTGCTTTGAAAGAACGTGATAGCACTTGTTTATGGATACATGGAATTGATCCCTTGATAAGTATTGGTTTCATGGCGATAACATATACACTCTTATTTAGACTTTCTTTGGATAGATGGAATCAGATGGAGCAGAGCGCTATGAGATGGAATAGAGTAATATTTCATTGTTTGGATCAATTAAAATCGGATAAAGCGGATCAATTATAATAAGTTGATTTGATTAGGTTTTAGAGAGAATAAATTTGAATCACTAAAAAAATCATCGGTTTAATTTGATTTGGTTCAAACATTAAATCATCTCCGGTGAAAAACAAACTAAATTGATGAAGAATGAATTGATTTGATTCCCTTCAATTAGATTGACATTTTTTGAATTTTAAAATAAAAATAAAACCTCATGCACCAAATCAAATTTCATCAAACAAAGGTCAAAGGAATTCAAAGGAACAGCAAAGATCATCTATAATATTGGAAACAACATCTGAATCATCAATTTCAAGTAAGTTTTTTGAGTTTTCGATAAATGTTTGAATTTTAGTGTAAACATGTAGGAATCAATGATTAGGGTTAGAAATGTGTATAAATCACATGCAACATAGTTTAGACATAGTGTATAACTTGTTTGTTGGCTGAAAATGGCGATTAAAACATAGTTTCTTCAACTTGCATGAGGTACATTCGTCATTGATGCGACCTTTGTGATGCAGAACATTTTAGAGATGTATCTCTGGAATTGTCACTATGCCAAAAAAGACTTTTAGCAGCGCTTTTTTTTGCCTTTAGCAGCGCTGCCTAAAGTGGCGCTGCTAAAGGTAAAGACAGCGTTTTTTTTTGCCTTTAGCAGCGCTTTTTAAAAGCGCTTTCTTAGCCCCCCCCTTTAGCAGCGCTTTTTTAAAGTGCTGTCTTAGACTCCCCCTTTAGCAGCGCTTTTTTAAAGCGCTTTCTTAGACCCTCATTTTCCAACCTATAGCAGCGCTTTTTTATGCCTCTTTTTGCCCCTTTAGTAGCGCTTTTTTTAAAAGCGCTGTCTATTCTTCACGATTTTGAATTTTTTTTTTAAAAATAATCACATTTTTTATATATTTTTCAATAAACCTGCTTATAACAAATACATTCCCTGCTTATAATTCAGGTCTTTAATTCAACAGTTTGACCTTATATATAACAATTATTTTGGCCTTATTTTTGTGTATTCATCAATTTGCAATATTATACACAATAACTAAAGTATACATTATAATTCATCACTTTGAAATATTATACACATAAATCTGCTTAAATATATTACAACACAGTCCGATCCTCAGAACAAAATCACATATACAATCAATTCACATATAATTACAAATCTGATAACTTTACAAATAGATACAATATCAGATGTCACATTAGGAAGAAATAAACTTAACAATCTTTACTTGACTATTGAATTCTGTATGAGACTGCATGGAGTTCACTATCAGCCACAAATACACGGTTTTCTTCAAGCTTTGTATCATTATTCAATTGAATGTCTTCCAAGCTTAATTCAATAGAACATGATTCATCTTAACAACAGCACAAGCAAAAACAATAATAGATAAGTAACAATACACTTGAACAGGCCCATGTAGATCATTAAGTACTAGATTTCTATGAAATTTTCAGTTCTTATCATTATTTGAAGTTTCTGTTAATCAGATTAATAATTAAATATGTATTTATAGAATTAATCTTCATTATCATTACCTTCCAATATATATTTCCTCATGAAGTACCAAAGCAGCCAATACAGTCACAATCACTGTCACAAGAGGGCTAAACAATGCAGAGAAAAGAGGTTCTCTCTGTGTTATGCACCATGCTTGAAGAAAAAACATAACCGCTGATCCCATAATTCCCTACAAAATATATTTATTACAAATTATTTAGGATTATGATGTATAAATATTGGTGTGTATCATCATGAAAAATTACCTCATATAAAGTGGAACCAAATTGAAGTAGAGAATTAATCTTCCATGCATTAAGGTCTGGCTCCAAGAATACTGTCACTACGGCTGATTGTAATGTTGAAATGAAACACATCCAAGCTGATAGTGATAAATAATTAGGATGACTTTTGTAAACTGGAACCTGAAAAATATATAAGGGTGAAATGTTATATGTTTATAGAATAATAGTTATATCATAAGTATTAATTATTAAGATTTTAAAAAACAGTCTCTGATGGTACCGATATTGATTTTGTTATTGATTATGTTATTGACGGTTTTTATGATAAGGAATTAATTATGGTTAATTCACATCCGCAACAACCACTAACACCTGTGCCGACTAAAATCGCGTAAGCATAGACCGTTATTAAAAATGTAACTCCGGGAATAAGATTGATCATGGCACTTGCAATTGAAGAAGACGAAAGATATAGTCCCTCAAAATATAGATTTTGATACAATGTAATGCTGCAACATCAAACATCATTATACATATACAAACATAAAGCTGTATGAATGATCTATACATTCTAAAACTATATCCACATTCATGAAGACACGTGAATTCATTAAATGTTGTGTAACTCGCCAAACAAACTTTATTTCAAAAAATTTGTCGAATCTATATATTTATGTTTTAAAATTTAATAAATAAATAAGGATTATTTGTGAATTTAGACTATTTCATAGAAAAATAAGGATTAAGAAAAATAAATAAATTTCAAGATTAACAGAAACTTAAAGCTTTCATCTAAATCACAAATAGTGTGAAGTTTCTAAAGCAACATAATCTAAAAAATCATTGAATATATGTGCAATATTTCCCTTATAAAAATTATTAGTAAAAAGAACTCATATAAGGTGTGGCATTTCAGCAAACACCTTGTATGCAGCTAGATATAATGAAAGTTAACATAAGTAAATTTATTGTGGCATTTCAACAAACACCTTGTATACAAAACTCAAGCCAATATCAAACGAGTAATTTTCATCAACGGTATCAACAAAAACAAGTCAAAAACTCAGAAAAGAAGTAATACTAACATCATATAATCCAAAAAAATGAAATACTAAGACATAAATCCAGAAAAATGCAAAATGAAAAACTTCAAATACCGTAACAATAGACGGACGGCGGCAGAATGAGGTGACGACGGAATGACCGGAGGAAAGACGACGGACGGAGGCTGTCGGACGGAATGCGTTGACGGTGACTGTTCTAATTCTGAATAGGGCAACGTTCGCGAGTGGAAATAAGAAAGAAGAAGACTGTTCTGATTCTGTGAAAATATTGGAATTTTTTAAATTTATGCTACTTAAACCTATAGCAGCGCTTTTTTTGGCATTTAGCAGCGCTTTTAAAAGCGCTGCTATAGGTCTGCCTTAGGACCCCCTTTAGCAGCGCTTTTTTTGGCATTTAGCAGCGCTTTTAGAAGCGCTGCTATAGGTATGCCTTAGGACCCCCTTTAGCAGCGCTTTTTTTGGCATTTAGCAGCGCTTTTAAAAGCGCTACTATAGGTCTGCCTTATGACCCCCTTTAGCAGCGCTTTTTTAAAAGTGCTTTCGTAGACCCCCCCTTTAGCAGCGCTTTTTTAACAAGCGTTGTCTTAGGTATGCTATTTTTTTGTTTTTTTTTTCATGACCCTTTAGCAGCGCTTTTTTAGAAAGCGCTGTCTTTTGTTGCGCTGCTAAAAGTCATTTCTGGCGTAGTGTGTTAAGCGTTTCATATACTTTAGAAAATTTCGGAGATGCATCTCCCGAAATATTCAACATTTTAGTTTAATGGTGCTTATGAAAATGTATCTCCGGAATTGTTAACGTTTTAGTTTAATGGTGTTTGTCTCCAGAATTTTCAGTAGTATATATTTTTAAAAAATTTCTTGCTTGTGTGTGTTGTTTGCGTGCACTAATGATATGCCTTACTTTACCTTACATGCATAGTGGATGATAGAGTTGATAGACTCAGACATGGCAGGGCTTCTCAACACGCATCCATTCGGCGAGAGCAGAGCCAACAGGTTCTGGAGGCTCCAGGTACATCTGGTCAGGCAAACATGTCTACTTTCGGGGCTCGTGCTTCATCTCAACCCACTCCACCTTCTTCTTCTTCCAGTAGGAAACGAGATTCAGCATCTGACGCGTCACTTCCGCCATCCTCACCCAGGCGTCAAGATTCACCAGTGCCGCCTCCTACGGATGATGCTGCTGTTCCAGATCCACCTCCCACTGATGATGTTGCTGATCCAGTGCCACCTCCAGAGGGTGAGGTTGCTAAGGATGTCGAGCCATAGGGTTTTGGAGTAGGTCCATTTGATTTTTCCTTACTTCCTCTGTATCCAAACCATATTGCTAGACATATATGGAACCGAGAGATAACATTAGTTAGATTTTTTTTACGTTAATTTTAATTGCTGATATTGATTATTTCTGACGTTGATTATTACTGACCTTGATGACTGAGACATGGCATGATGAGATGTCTAGTGTTTGTTACATCTTTCGATCAGAGAGAGATTTCTCGATCATGGAAGG